AACTACAGAGAAACAGTTTGTGGAGTTCATGAAACAAGTCTCACCTGACATTGTTCAAAAATACGCCCCTCACGGTATAAATTGGAAATTTATCCCCCCAAGCGCTCCTCRTATGGGTGGTTTATGGGAATCAGCGGTAAAGAGTTTTAAATCGCATTGCAAGAAGCTCGCTGGCAACCTCAAGTTCAATTATGAAGAATTCACGACACTGTTAACCAGAATCGAAGCCGTTCTCAACTCACGGCCTCTCTCTGCACTCTCGCAAGACCCCTCTGACTTTGCTGCCCTTACCCCAGGGCATTTTCTTAAAGGGGCACCCATTCTGGCCACACCTGAGCCAGGCATGGAGTCGCTGTCCTTACTAAACAGATGGGAACGAATTAAAGTTCTCCATCATAATTTCAGCCGACGATGGAAAGAAGAGTATTTAAAAGACCTTCACAAAAGGTATAAATGGAACATCCCAGAACAGGCTCCAATGCTTGGAGATTGTGTCCTAGTTCACGACGATTGTCTCCCCCCCACAGAATGGCGGCTTGGCCGCATAGAGAAACTACACTACGGTTCCGACGGTCACATCCGGGTGGTTGATCTCCGTATGCAAAACAGAACGCTAACCCGGCCGCTTGTCAAATTATGTTTCTTACCAACTGCCGCCACTTACGAAAACGTAAATAATAACCATTCCCAAASCGATCCGAAAAGACGGGAAAAAGAAAATAAATTAATAATATCATTAAGAAAAACCGCAAGGATAATTACAATAAGCTTCAAGCCGTAAGACAAACGTAGACCTACACATATATCTCGACACCCTTTAGACGGACGATCATTTAGTCAGGCCCCCTAACGTGGCACCCTGTTCATGCACGCTTACAGGCAATCAAATTATAATCATTACGATTTTCTCTTTCTTCTCACAGATTGATATGGATACACCTGTAACCCCCACGCCAACTCTAAGTAAGGCTGTTACTGTGCCTCGCTCCGGAACTGTTCCAGTAGCAGCGCCCCGAACCATCACGGCGGCAACGGCGCCAACCGTGGCACGAAGCTCAACATGCGCAGCACCGACGCCGGCGCCTCCGAAACCGCACCGCACCAGATGTCCGCTCTGTTGCCGTTCTCATAGGCTGCAGCATTGCCCTATTTTCAAGGGACCCGTMCCCGTACAACGTCAGTAGGTGGCAATTTGTTTAAATTGCTTGGCCCAGTCACACGCCACGCTTGAATGCGAATCTGATACCTTGTGCCGGTTGTGTGAAAGACCGCATCATACGTTACTCCACCGGAACGCCGGACATCCCGGCTCACCAACTGTCCTCCGCCGCCGTACGGCCACCCGACGATCGCAGCCTAACCGTGTGGCACGGCATCCAGAAGCTGGATGGTCCTRGCGCCCCCTCAATACGACATCCACGCGCAACCAAATAAGGCCACAACCTCACCGCCCCACCGGCCTGAGCGGCGTTGTAGCTACGTTACGGGCACTACAGCGTCTACTAGGCTAGCACTCGCCTAGGGGGGCCGAGATGTTGAAATGAACTCCAGTCGCCCGAACTAATTTAACTAAAAGGCATCACTGATCAGTTAATACAACACTCTCCACATCAACATGTTAATTAGAAAAACAGGGCATCACTGATCATCTCCACACCAAACTGTTTTTGTTCCATTTTTCATTTTATACCAACGAGAAGGTGACGCAGTGCCGTTTTTTGTTCTAGCAGTGCTAGAAGTCACGTTCGCCGCTACACACGCGCACCGCAACGTCTATTTAAAACTTTTTAACTTTGCATCTTTTGCACCCTCCGGTAACTTTATATAGAGATCATTCGTTTGTTATTTAGCTTCTACCAGGTTTATATACATTTAACTTTGGTTTGGTAACGTTTAACCTTTTAGTATCGCTATAACCTAAAACGAAATTGGCGTAGTGTGCTAACTACATCAAAGAAGTTTATTCAGTGCTATAACCTGAAAGTGATTGACCATCCGAACGTCCCATTTCTACCGCTGGGTTGATACATTATTTATCATCTAAACTACCATAAAGTGTAAAATATACAATTAATTTTTGAAACATATATAACTCATTTTTAAACATATATCATTYATTTGTAAACTTATGCAACGCATTTGTAACCATATTCCAGTCATTTGCAACAATAAACGGTTCAG